AAAATATAAAACCATCTTGTAAATTGTACAATTAACACTCAGGAGATAAACAGAAAAAAGCAACAAACATGATAGAGAAGGTATAGTTGGAGAGCCAGAATACTGAAAAATTACAGAAGTCTGGAAAGAGTTTCAAAATGGTGGGAGTGATCAAGATGGTGATCAAGAGTCCACATATCATGAGGGAGTCATGCAAGTGTTATAAATAACCAGTGGATGTAGTCTGAAGGTAGTCATTTTTGAGAAGAGTTTCTGTATGTGGAAGACCAAAAAAACAACCAACCAACCAAAAAAATCCAAGCCTGTTGCTGTAGAGTTAACTCATGGTAAACCCATGAGTTTCAGAGCAGCACTAAGCTTCCTTGTTATAATCTTTCTGGAAGCAGATCACTAGGCCTTTCTTTCAGAGCACCTCTGGGGGATTTTGAACCAGCAACTTTTCGATTTGTAGTCAGTTGCTTAACCATTTATGCCACCTGGGAATCTTTTCTGTAGAAAGAAGGGGCCTGAAAGCAAGGGGAGTGGAAGCCAAGCAAAGGAGGGATTAAGAACACTGGTACGGTAAAGATGGAGCTGATTTAAAAGCATAGGTAGCATTTTTCAGTAAATGATAGGAAAGAGATACAGTCCTACAGCCTAGGTAACTGTGTGTGTATGTGTGTGATAGTAAATTTTCATTGGCTTTATTCTTAGGTCTAAAATGCTGGACTATACTGAGTCTTTAGTTCACCTAATTACCATACAAGTTCAATTTTCCAGCCCTTAAATGATTTTGTAGTCACCATTAGCAAAGATGAATAACCTAGCAGTAAAATACTAGGAGCCCTGGTGGTGTAGTGGTTAAGTGCTAGGCTGCTAACCAAAAGGTTGGCAGTTCAAATCCACCAGCCTCCCCCTGGAAACCCTATGCAGCAGTCTGCTCTGTCCTATAGGGTTGCTATAGTACCTAACAACAGAAGTACCAGAATATTTTAGAAGATGCAGTTCTCCCAACAACCACAAGGAGGCAGACTGATACCGAGCATTGCCAACGATGCACTTAAAAGTAGTCTCTGGAAGCTAGAATATCTAAGGAGATTAATGAAGTTTCCTGTTAAATAGAAAACAACAACAAAAATCTCACTAAAATAGAGTAAGTATAACAAACCCCAAAATTCTAGATATGATTTATGTTGCTAGTGTTTATAACAGCAATCTTTCACATAGTCCTTGATACCTTACAAAACATTCTAACAGGATGAATCATTTCAACAATCCTGGAAGATAAACATTCCTACCCCTCTGTTAAAGATGAAGAAATTTAAACAAAGAGCAGTGAAGTGTTTGTACAAGGTCATAAAGCTGATAAGAGGCAGACGCAAAATTGAAGCACAGGTCAGTGTAATTCCACCTACTGAATAACTCCCCAACACTGCAGCAGCAGTGGGACATTTAAAATAGATTTGAGGGAATTTCAGCTCTCCTGGATATCCCAGAAGTCACATGGAGAAAACTTTAAAGAGGGGAAGATAATCCCACCACCACTCACCAACTCCAGTCTAGATTTACTTTGACTTCCACTCTGAAGCCAATTATTTGATTTCTATCTAAAGGAGTAAAAACCAAAAACATAAAAGAAAGGTAATTCAGTCATAGGAAAAGCACGGCACCCAGGAATTCTAGCTACTTCTCCTCAAACTGTAAAAGCTGTGGTCTCTTTCTATTTCCAATCCTGTCATTCCCCTTCTTTTCTTTTACCCTAACAGAAGGAACTTCTAGCTGACTCTGCAGAGATATTGTTTATCTTTCCCAACCTATGTGGCCAGCAGAGAGTAGCCCTCTTGTTATAGTCAGCCCTCATGCTAAAACATCTCACACAGTAAATGAAGAAAGGTCTCTAGATGTAACAAGAGGAAGCATTTGGGCAAGAGATGCTATTTCTTCCATCCAATTGAAGAACTAAGGATTTAGAGCGTGATTTAAGTCACTTCCTCTACAGAATTCACTGCTGAACCTCTGACCATCAAAGCTGAAAGGGTTCTTCGAGATCATCTAGTCCAATGGTAATTATCCATTTTGTATGAGTTACAGACCCTTCTCAGAATATTATGAGAGCTAGAGTAAGGGCAGGCCTACAATAAAGAAACCTATTTTCTGAACTCCCAGCTTAGGTCTATCTCATATATTCCACTCTGGCTTTTAACATCCCTTATATGACTGCATTTGATCCTTACAATAACTCTGGGAATGAGACAAACCAGCAGTTACTATTTTTATTTTTAGTTAAGAAAATTTAGTCCCAGATATTGAATGCTTTGCCTAAGATAACACAACTGGCCAATGGCAGACAAGTTTTAGAAGATGATTCTTCAGCTTACTTCAGGGATCATACAAGGCCACCATGATTTAAAAGTATGAAATGTATCTGTATTCTGTGACAGTTTGTTTATATGCCATTTGACTGATTTGGTTTTATTTATCAAAATCCTTTGCTCTTTCTAGCCTCCTTCACAGGGGACAGTGGAGGAGGATAAGTGGGTTTGGCGAGGGTCATGGGGTCCAGCAACTCTCAAAGTAAATGTCTTTTCCAACTGCCACTTCCTTGTCTGCTCTCTGAAGGACAAAAGAGGCTGGATCACAAGATTAAAGGGCCGATTGCCAGGGAAAGGCGTCTTAAGGAGGCGTCTCTTTCAAGTAAGAGACTTTCTTTCCTCTTTTATGTGCTGTCCTGACTGTGGAGACACATGTCTCTGATTGAGATGCCCTTTCCTTAGCTTCCACATTGCCTGTGTTTATCCCACTGGGGAATTCACCACACATTATGCTTTAAATAAGTAGCCCTGGTGGCTCAGTGGTTAAGAGCTCAGCTGCTAACCTAAAGATTGATGGTTCAAACCCACCAGCTTCTCCACAGGAGAAAGATATGGAAGTCTGCTTCCATAAAGATTTACAGCCTTGGAAACCCTATGGGGAAGTTATACTCTGTCCTATAGGGTTGCTTTGAGTTGGAATTGACTCAACGGCAGTGGGTTTGGTATGCTTTAAATATCTATGCTCCTCTCTGCTTTCCAAATGTAGATACGATGGTGAGCTTATGGGATAGTGTTTATAGTGGATTTCTCTTTGTATCACCAGTACACAGCACTGTGTCTTCCAGAAATTAGTTACTGCTTTAATGTTTGTGGAATAAATGAAAAGAATCAATGATAATTCTGCAGCTCTCAGTCTTTTCCTGACCCAAGTGCACTGTTGTATAATACATTAATGACTTAACTACTAAGTACATTAGCTTTTGAGAAAAAGTATCCTATGGTTTATAATGAGGTATAGCTTTTCCAGTCTCCTTTACAGGTTGATTAACTAAAGGAAAGAACACTTTCCTGGTGATGGTATAGGAAGGTTGGGTAAAGGGCGATATCTATAGATGGGACTATAGGAAGCCTAGATATATTCATCCAAGCACTAAGAAGATCCTGGTAAGCACTATACTACCCCAGCCTGAGTATTACAAGATGCCAAATTTCAACAAAGATGTCTCTTTAATAGTTTGAGATGCCTTAAATCTGGCAAATGTGGTAAGATTTTCTTTATGTAATTTCATGACACTTTTTCTGAGAATCTTCCCATAAAAATCTTTAGAAAGCTTTGTCAGAGTATAATGGTTTGCTAACATTTTAAACAAATGATCCTTTCTACCTACACTCCTACATTTTCCTAATGAGCTATTTTAATGACTGTAAGTGTGAACAAGGATACATAGTGACAGTTGATCTTTAATTCACTCAATGGTGATATATTGGAAATCAACCATAGTAGACTGTTGAAAATTCTGGATCAGTAATGAGAAAATATTTTCAAACATGGGTCTTGATGCTTCCTGGTTGTGTGGCATTTGGTAAACTATTTAATTTTGCTGAGAATCTGTATTCTCACTGGTAACCTGGTTAATATCTTGTTGAATATACCTCTCAGGGTTATTGCAAGGCTCAACTGAGGTAATTCATATAACGAGTTTGAATATTATGAGGCAGTTGGTAAACACAAGACACTATTATTCTAATGAAACTAGGATAGGTATAAAGTAAGGTCTCACTATTCATGTTTAAATGTTACTTCATTCTATACCGATGACATTTGGAGAGTTTCTGTTCTGCCTGTTGTATATTGTCAGTACTCTTAAAAAAAAAAAAAAGGCTCAAATGTCATTTGCACACCAAACATTGACTCAACTGACGTTGAGTTTAAGAGAATCTTAAAACTCCAGACTACTTCTGGGATAACACTATAACTGAGAATAAATATTAGTGGCATGTGTGCTACCATGCTTTCTACAGAACCCATGATGATAATTATTAATCAAGCATAGTTATGTTCCCACCAAGCCTGGATGCAACTTCAGAATCCTTATAAACACTGCAGTTTAGGCAGCCATTACTAAATTATTTTAGTAGGCTCAAAAGTTCAAATTATACGAACAGACTTTGAGGCAGTAAGTTAATATTACAAAGGATTAGATTTTTGTTTTCAGGAAGTACTAAATGGATATGACAGACACAAAGAAAACTAATAAGTCATCAGGTAATGTCTGGGGGGTCCTTTCAAAGACCATTCATGTCTTCACAGCAATGCAGAAGTGCTATTAGAGTTGCGTTATATTGTAAACAGAACACACAAGCATACAAACAAAGGCCATTTAAAAAGCAAAAAAAAAAAAACACTCTCAATTGGAGCAATTTTATATTGAAGCAAAAGGCCCCATTGATAGGCTTTGAAAACATCATTGATTTACAGGAATACAGTAACTACAGTAATGCATTTACTGTGTCTCAAAAAAACAAGTCTCAATTACATTTTATGTATTCTAGTTAAGCAGATAAGAAACGCTATTTTCTATTTCAGGAATCTTTATGTCAAAAGTATATAATAACACTTTAAAAGTTTGCCATTCAAAGCTTCTTTCTCAGGTATAGTCACTTAGATAGAATGCACTGATGTCGCTGTCATTGTGCTTACTTTGATAGGTTGATTGTGATGAGTTCCAGGACCCCAAGGTCTTCTGTACTCGGGAATCTAACCCCCATTGTGGCTCTGATGGCCACACATATGGCAACAAATGTGCCTTCTGTAAGGCGATGGTGTAAGTATCATACTCACCAAACCTGTATCTTGCAAACTCAAACTTCCAGCACAAGACCAAAATGCTTTTTTTGAGATATTCTAGAAATTCCTACTCATATCCAACCATAGAGGTTGAATTAGCTTCAGACAAATGTAAACAAATGTGTCTACACCAAAAGATATTTAAATAATAAATTTGAAAACATAACCTTTGTTACTTTACTTTGTTACCGTTAATTTTGATTCATCTTAGGGCAGTTTTTAAAAAAATATCTATCATTAAGAATTGTAACACATTTTCCTATTTTTTCTAATAAAAAATTCCTATCTATTTTTATCCAACTATGTTTTTGTTGTTGTTATTATAATTGTTAACTTTGAAAAAAAGAAGAAAAATTCTTAGAGATGCAGTAAAATTTGATAGTTCATCAAAATTAGAAACGTAAAAAAAGTCCTGGTAAAATTTGAAAAAAAAAAAAAAAAACTATTTTATCCAATTTAAGGCATTCCTAGGGCATCTAATTCCCATTTATTCCTTTTAGTCTGATGAAAAGGGCCTTTCAACGAAGAATGGAGTGGATGGTTACACTTTATTAGTCAGATTATTCAAACTTTACAGATAGTATACTAAAAAGATTCTATCAAGGATCAATATTAATTGATTCTGTGTTTATAAGAAACAGAGCAGGAACTATAAATCTTAGCTAATGGACTGTGAGCTTCCTGATAGTACATGGTCCATAGTTGATAAATATTTGTTTAATTAACTAGTTAATTAATTAATCAACCAATCTTTTAGTCTGTGCTAAAAGCAAGAAAGACCCAGATAAAAGTTACCTCACTTCCTCAACTGTCACATTTTTCTTATACTGGCGTTTCTTCTATTAATGTCTTAATTTCTCTCAATTTTGATGCAAAATTCTCAAGCACAGAGATTATATAACTCTCTAGCAATAATCAGAGGGCCTAGCATATAAAATGAAATTAATAAATATTGACTCCGTACATAATAAATGCATGTCTACATTTGTACATTTGTATAAAATGTATCTGACTAATTATACTAAGCTTTTCTCAGAAGAAGGGCAGTAGGGCAAGATGAGATTTGAGTTAATGGACACATGTTACTGAGAGGGACTGAATGCATGGCCGGCTATAAAATGCCAAATGCTTGAATATTGGTTCAATGACTTACATCATCTGTCAGAATAGAACTAGGACACTATATAGCCTTTCTTCCATTGTTTCCCCTGTCACTTCCACCTTTTTCATGTGTATATATAAATTTATACTTGGAAAATGAGCAACTGGTAGCAACAAGTCTAAGGTTTATCAAAACTTTGCGATTTATTTGTTCAAGATTTATGCCTTCAGCAATCTGGCCAGATGCCAATTTTGAGGGCATTTAGTTAACCTCCAAAGTGTAGACATGGATATCTGTAGAATCAAATGATTAGATGGATCAGCCCTTCATAACTGCTGTTTTCAAACTCTGTGGTGAATATTTATGATTTTTCACTGAGTATATATTTGTCTTTTCTTTTATAGGAAGAGTGGTGGGAAGATTAGTCTAAAACACCAAGGAAAATGCTGAAATTAGAGCCAGTGTGTTATGCTGGCTTGCCATCTTCTCCCATCCTTTTTTTCTCACTTCTGCCTTTACTTTTCTCTAGCAGAATCCTTAAATTTACAAAGACACATCTTCTACTCTGCCAGGGTACCAGGAAGTTTGATGTATGTCTATTTCCCTTGATTCACTTTTCAATAAAGTAAATTCTTCAGAATCATTGATTATGTGTTTACTCTGGTATCAAGAAAGGTACCGGTACAACATGTGGTAATTGATCTGGCTTAAAACTTGGATTAAGAGACCTGCTTTCTTAATCTAACCCAACCATCCAGTCACTGTGGGATCTTGGAAGAAATCCTTTTCTCTCTCTTATTCTTGGAATCTCTATGTAGATAATAAAGAATTTTGTAAGAATAATCATATACAATACTTTCAGTTTTTTTAAAATATCTATTATTTGAGTCTTTGATCATATAATATCAGATCTTCCCAATTCATTAAAAGTATTTTATATATATAAAATATTTATCCTCTCTGAACCATAGTTTCCTCATCTCTATGTCATGGGAAATTTGGATTACATGTCTAAAGACATGCATTATTAAAGACAAGCTTTTAAGACCCCAGACACTACTTACTTCACTAGGATGGAGATCATGATTTTCGTGAACCATTTTGTGACAATTGACTGAGTTGTCTGTGAAACTATGGTCCTAAGCTTTCAAACCCAGAAACCAATCTTGGAAGGTGTTTGGCTATGTTTGAGGAGTATCTGTATTTGTGTCTTCAGTGAATATATGTGCTTGCACCCACATATTTATATTTACATATACCTATAGATATTTCTGGAAACCCTGGTGGTGGTGTTGTTAGGTGCTGTCAGGCTGGTTCCAACTCATAGTGACCCTATATATCACAGAATGAAACACTGCCCGGTCCTGCGCCATGCTCATAATAGTTGTTACACTTGAGCCCATTGTTGCAGCCGCTGTGTCCATCCATCTTGTTGAGGGTCTTCCTCTTTTTCACTGATCCTGTATTTTACCAAGCATGATTTCCTTCTCCTGGGACTAATCCCTCCTGACAACGTGTCCAAAGTATGTAAGACGTAGTCTCGCCATCCTTGCTTCTAAGGAGCATTCTGTTTGTACTACTTCCAAGACAGATTTGTTCGTACTTTTAGCAATCCATGATACATTCAATATTCCTCGCCAACACCATCATTCAAAGGCGTCAATTCTTCAGTCTTCCTTATTCATCGTCCAGCTTTCAAATGTATATGAGGCGATTGAAAATATCGTGGCTTGGGTCAGTTGCACCTTAGTTTTCAAGGTGATATATTTGCTTTTCAACACTTTAAAGAGGTTTTTTGCCCAATGCAATGTGTCCTTTTATTTCTTGACTGCCGCTTCCACAGGTATTGATTGTGGATCCAAGTAAAATGACATCCTTGACAACTTCAATCTTTTCTCTATTTACAATGATGATACTTATTGGTCCAAATGTGAGGATTTTTGTTTTCTTTACGTTGAGATGTAATCTATACTGAAGGCTGAGGTCTTTGATCTTCGTCAGTAACTGCTTCAAGTCCTCTTCACTTTCAGCAAGCAAAGTTGTGTCATCTGTATAACACAGGTTGTTAATGAGTCTTCCTCCAATCCTGACACACTGTTCTTCTTCATATAGTCCAGCTTCTTGGATTATTTGCTCAGCATACAGATTGAATGAGTATGGTGAAAGGATACAACCCAGACGCACACCTTTCCTGACTTTAAACCACGCAGTATCCCCTTGTTCCATCCAAACAACTGCCTCTTGATCTATGTACAGGTTCCTCATGAGCACAATTCAGTGTTCTGGAATTCCCATTCTTCACAATGTTATCCATAGTTTGTTATGATCCACAGAGTGGAATGCCTTTGCATAGTCGATAAAATACAGGTAAATATCTTTCTGGTATTCTTTGCTTTCAGCCAGGATCTGTCTGACATCAGCAATGATATCCCTGGTTCCACGTCCTTTTCTGAATCTAGCCTGAATTTCTGACAGTTCCTTGTTGACATACTGCTGCAGCCGCTTTTGAATGATCTTCAGCAAAATTTTACTTTTAATTTTTTAATTAATTGATTATTTTAATTTAATTTTTTTTTAATTTTTAATTTTCACACTCTGTTGGATCACGTTTCGTGGGAATAGGCATAAATATGGATCTCTTCCAGTCAGTTGGCCAGGTAGCTGTCTTCCAAATTGCTTGGCATAGACAAGTGAGCACTTCCAGTGCTGCATCCATTTGTTGAAACATCTCAGTTGATATTCTGTCAATCCCTGGAGCCTTGTTTTTCACCAGTGCCTTCAGTGCAGCTTGGACTTCTTCCTTCAGTACCATCAGTTTTTGATCATATGCTACCTCCTGAAATGGTTGAAGGTTAACCAATTCTTTTTGGTATAACTACTTTGTGTATTCCTTCCACCTTCTGTTGATGCTTCCTGCATCATTTAATGTTTTCCCCATAGAATCCTTCACTATTGCTTCTGGAGGCTTGAACTTTTTTCAGTTCTTCCCTTTTGGTTTTCTATCTCCAGCTCTTTGCATGTGCCATTATAATACTTTACTTTCTCTTCTCTAGTCACCCTTTGAAATCTTCTGTTCAGTTCTTTTACTTCATCATTTCTTCCTTTTGTTTTAGCTACTCAATGTTCAAGAGCAAGTTTCAGAGTCTCTTCTGACATCCATTTTGGTCTTTTCTTTCTTTCCTGTCTTTTTAATAACCTCTTGCTTTCTTCATGTATGATGTGCTTGATGTCTTTCCACAACTTGTCTAGTCTTCGGTTATTAGTGTCCCATGGGCGAAATCTATTCTTGAGATGTTCTCTAAAGTCAAGTGGGATATACTCAAGGTCATAATTTGGCTCTTGTGGACTTGTTCTAATTTTCTTCAGTTTCAACTTGAACTTGCATATGAGCAATTGATGGTCTGCTCTGCAGTTGGCCCCTGGTCTTGTTCAGACTGATGATTTGAGCTTTTCCATGGTCTCTTTCCACAGATGTAGTCGATTTGATTCCTGTGTATTCCATCTGACAAGGTCCAGGTGTATAGTAGCCATTTAAGTTGGTGAAAAAGATATTTACAATAAAGAATTCATTGGTCTTGCAAAATTCTATCTTGCAATCTCCAGCATTGTTTCTATAACTAAGGCCATATTTTCCAACAACGGTCCTTCTTTTTTTCCAACTTTCGCATTCCAATCACCAGTAATTATCAATGCATCCTGATTGCATGTTTGATCAATTTCAGACTGCAGAAGCTAGTAAAAGTTTTCAATTTCTTCATCTTTGGCCTTAGTGTTTTGTGGGTAAATTTGAATAATAGTCGTATTAACTGGTCTTCTTTGTAGGCATGTGGATATTATCACTGACAGCATTGTACTTCAGGATAGATCTTGAAACGTTCTTTTTGAAGATGAGTGCAACTCCATTCCTCTTCAAGTTTTCATTCCTGGTATAGTAGACGGTATGATTGTCCTATTCAAAATAGACAGTACCAGTCAATTTCAGCTCACTAATGCCTAGGATACTGATGTTTATGTGTTCCATTTCATTTTTGATTGTTTCCAATTTTCCTAGATTCATACTTTGTACATTCCACATTATGATTATTAATGGATGTTTGCAGCTGTTTCTACTCATTTTTAGTTATGCCACATCAGCAAATGAAGGTCCCAAAAATTTGAGTCCATCCACGTCATTAAGGTTGAGTCTACTCTGAGGAGGCATCTCTTCCCCAGTTGTATTTTGAGTGCCTTCCAGCCTGGGGGGCTCATCTTCTGGCACTATATCAGACAATGTTCTGTTGCTATTCATAAGGTTTTCACTGGGTAATTCCCTTCAGAAGTAGACTGCTGCGTCCTTCTTCCTAGTCTGTCTTAGTCTGGAAGATCAGCTGAAACCTGTCCTCCATGGGTGACCCTGCTGGTATCTGAATACCAGTGGCATAGCTTCCAGCATCACAGCAACACGCAAGCCCCCACATATGATAAACTGAGAGACACGTGGGGGGAAAACCTGGTGGCGTAGTGGTTAAGAGCTACATCTGTTAACCAAAAGGTTGGCAGTTCGAATCCACCAGGCACTGCTAGGAAACGCTATGGACAGGTTTACTCTGCCCTATAGGGTCGCTATGAGTTGGAGTCAACTCAATGACAAAGGGGTTTGGTTTGGGTTTTGTCACTATTTCTTAAAGGAGCCCTGGTGGTACAGTAGTTAGTAAGAGCTCAGCTGCTAATCTAAAGGTTGGTGGTTCAAACTCACCAATCACTCCACAGGAGACAGATGTAGCAATCTGCTTCCATAAAGATTTACAGCCTTGGAAAATCTATGGGGCAGTTCTACTGTGGAATAGGGTCACTATGAATCGAAATCCACTTGAAGACAATGGTTTTTGAGTTTAGAGATACTTCTATGTGTTCTCACCTATGTACACACCTGTACCTGCCCGTGTACCAATACGCCTATACCCATCCATATGTGCTGGAACACTCATTTTTACTTTGGTTATGCTATGCTCATTACATCCACATTTGGTGCCACTTATCCCATGAACAAAAATTAACAAGTCTCTATGATCTAAAGTGTGCTTTCCCCTCCCTTCTCTTATCTCTGGTAACACCAATGAACGTTGGTCTCTCTATAAGTATCTATTTTTGTCTTCATATAAAAGAAGGATCATATAATATTTATCCTTACATACTTGAGTTATTTCACTTAGCATTGTGCACTCCAGGTCTATCTATGTTATAATATGTTTTGTGGAGTCTTCATTGTTCCTTATGGTTGTGTAGTATTCCATTATATGTATGTACCACAATTTGCTTATCCATTCATCTGTTGATGGACACTTCAATCGTTTCCATTTATTTGCTATTGTGAATAAAGCACCAATGAGCTCTCTTTTAGTCTCTTGTAGTAGTGTATTGTTTTTCTTTAATTTATTTTTTATTTTTTTTATTGTACTTCAGGTGAAGGC